CTTATTTGGTCCATCCGTGGTCCTCCCAGGTGCCGTCGGCGGAGTTGTCGTGTCTGGTCGATATGATGGATACCATTACGTTCGTGTACCAAATTCTCAATCCGAACCTGTTGCTGGCCGAGGACGTCGAGCTAGCCGCTTTCACAAACTCGCCCGAGGTTTACCAGGGCAAGGGCCAGATCTTCAGGTCTGTTCTCGACGCATTGAAGGGCCACGACGAGTGGCTGAAGAGGTTCAATGCAGTGTGCAGGTCCGTCGGCCAGATCAGCGAGCTCGGACCCACATATCAGAGGTGCACAGCCGACATGACGGAAGCTACGGATGAGACTCGAGCTGTTGCCTTGAGCAAGGTGCTTCCCAATGTACCGCGCTTGCAGGCGGGCTTGGTCAACGGCATGATGCAACCTCTGGAGGACATGCTTGTCGATCTGATTCGAGCTGAGGTGGTTGCGACGAAACGCAGATACGCGGATGGCAAAGCGATCGTCAAAGACGTCCAGGCCTTCCAGAAGATATTGGCCATTGCGTCAGACAGCTTCCCATTCTTAAATGACATCTCGGAGTGGATGACCGACATTTCCACAATCTTGCTGAGCGTGCAGGCGGGAGCTACCCTGGATGAGTTCGTGAAGGCCGTCAAGGAGGTCGCCCAGGAGGCGAGTACACAGACGTTGTCTCAGCTTGGAGTTGTGATGCAGCGCTCGCATGGCCTGAAGCTCCAGCGCCCCGAGGACGTGAACTTATTCATGGACGCTTGCCAGAAGATCGACGAGTTCATGTTGCATGGCGTGTCGCTGTTTTGCTCCGAGGGCTTGGCCATGCCAACGGACGAGCTCAAGGAGAACTTGGGATACTCGAAGGACCTGCTGATGATGGACATTCCCGCTGACCAGCAGTCCCAGGCACTGCAGATGTACCGTGGGGCGGCGAAGTGCTACGATGGCTTGACGCGCCTGGCCGTGTGTTTCGTGGGTTTGCCTCGTGATGCGACCATGAGCTTGGCCCCGCCAGGTCGCGAGGCGCTGGATGAGCTGCATCGTGTCAACAAGAGCGCCAAGAACGCGTTCGCCGAGTTCACCGAGATCGGTTCTACGCACGGCGTCACTGACCTCCTGGCCAAGCTGGCGGGGCCTGCTGACGCTGCAATCGGGAACGCTGTGAAGACCACTCTCGATTCAATGCACGAGAACCTTGCGGACGCGCTCTTGACAGTCACGACGTGGCAGGGCGGTGTCGAGAACGGACATTGGACCGACGGCCTCGAGCACAACGACTGGAAGACTGTCAAGGCGACGCTCGACGTCGCGGTCTGCAAGATGCCAGACCCGCTGCGCTTCCACGCTTGCCTCGGGCGTTTGACGGAGGCATGATGATGAGGAGGATGATGAGGATGGGGTTGAGGAGGCTGTGTAAGGTTTGGGGGGAGTCCGAGTCGGGGGGAGATCATTCTTCCCCCTCCTCCCCCCTCTTAGGCGAATCGTTTTAGTAGGGAGTAGCAAGTGGGAGTACGGGGATCGTTGGAGTGTGGGTGTAGGGGGGCATGACGGCCTCACTTCTGCCCTCCCTTCTCCCATCCCTTCTGTCTTCACCCTCCTTTCTCTCCATTCCCTCATTTCCTTCCCGCCCAAATCCCATGTGCCCCTTTTAATCTCGCCTCCGCCGCCTCCCAGTTCTCCAACCCTTCGCCTTCATGGCGCACCCCTCCTGGTCCTCATGCCCCCCAGCCTTGGTGGGCAGGGTGGTAGTGATGATGGCGATGATGATGATGCTGATGACGGTGGCGATGATCATGATGAGGTTCATGATGGTGATGATGATGACGATGACGATGGTGATGACGATGACCACTGCCCCGCTCCCCCCAGGCCCACCAGGATGCTGCAGATCTGGTCGCTGCGTTCGACAGTGATGTAGATCCACGTTTCGCTTCTTTCCCCGACCTCGTTGTCAAAGGCCTCACGACTTACGTGAGCGGCCTCATAGTTTATGATCTTGAGGCCCACAAGGCCGACAAGGTCAAGAAGCGCACTGCCATTGGCAAGCGCGTCGAGATGCTGAGATCGATTGGTGTCGACCCGAGCTCGGTCTTGCATGCTGCCGTTTGGGCGCAGACCGAGAAGGCTCGTTGCCTGCAGTAGGGCGGCACTCGCTCGGCGTGGGCCGAGGCGCGAGATGCCGATGATGATGGTGATGAATATGATGATGATGCTGATGATGATGAGGTTTCGATGATGATGAGGGGGGGAGGAAGGGGGGGAGGAGGAGGAGGAACACACGCAACAGACACGGTTCTTATTCAGAAGATGGCTCTCGCCCTGGCCAGCCGATGGGCTGATTATAAAAAGAGGCCAGCAAGACGACTCTTGCTGGCTCGTTTGCGTCGTTGTGCTCGGGATGCCTGCACCCGCCGAGCGCAGCAACAAATGAACAAAAACACGGTTGTCTGAATGCGGTGTCGTGTTGAGGCCGCCGCCTTTCCGCCAGACCCCTCCTCGTCGTCTGCCCGCCTCCCCCTGCAACTCCCTCTCCCACTTCCTCTTGTTGGTATTCCCCCTCTCCTGCCCCAGCTAACTCGAACTCTTCCTGAGTTGTGTGTTGAAGGTAGACCTGTGTACCCTGGTGGGGGCATCGGAAAGCAGTCGCATGCTCAATGTTGCTTTCTGGGGGTGCTGGAAACCATGTTGGTAGTTAGTAGCGCACGGTGAAATTACCCCGCCGCGCTGTGTTCGATCAGAACTCCGATTTGTGGACCTTCGGGTCGGATTTCTCGAAGCGTTGGGGGCCGCTCGGTCTTCTCCGATTTTTCGGATCGAGCCCTCGATTTCCGAAGCTTCCAAAACACGACTGCTTGGATTTTTGATCGAGTACCTCGCGGCGAACGCACGTCTTTTTGAAAAAAGCCGACAACTTACACTACTCTTTCCCTGGAAAACAGTATTCTGTACACGACTTATTCCTGGTGTCGCAAAAACACCTACGCACGACTACCAACACGACTAACAACACTACTGTTTTGGGTTTTCGCGAATAGAGGGTCTGTAGCAGGTGGCTTGCTTCATAAGTGGAGGTGCCTTTCGCGGACTGGCCTATTGATGGGCCGCGGACGCTGATATGGGTGGCGCTCTTCATCTTATGGGTCGCCGGGACGCCGCTCGCCTGGCACCAGAAGTTCCGCACGGATGGGAACTTGGACGACGACGAGCCGGGCGTTGGCAACCACGAGATGATGTGTCGTTTGCTCGAGATCGGGCTCTGCTACGATCAGCTTCACTGCTCGAACCTAGCCTCGATGGAGCTGGTCGCGCGGTCGATCCAGACGGAGAACGAGCGCTACAGGCACCGTTTCGAGAGCTCGGAGGACGCTGACCTGAACCACAACCTGATGATCGGGATGACCCACGGGCGTGGGCACGTGCGTGTGTGTGTGTGTACCCAGCCTTGCGGGGCCACGTCTCCGCCCAGCTGCAGAAGGAGGCGGCTATCGCCAAGGAGAGGAGGAAGGCACGTGAGGAGCGGGCCCTCGCCGCCGGCGGCGCTGCTGGAGCTGGAGCTGGAGGAGGCGGCCGCGGCAAGAAGAAGAAGGGGGGCAAAGGCGGCGGCCGCGGCGATGCGTCCGCCGCGGGGGAATGATCGGCGACGAGTGTGGCAGCCTGGGGGACCGGCAGGCTGCTCGCAGCAAGGACGCCACCGGCCAGGCGGCCGCCTCTTGGCCGCCCGAGGCAGGGAGACAGCGTGACCTGTTCCCACTGCCACTTGTGGGCGGCGGCAGCGAGTACGGCAAGCCCACGCTCAGTCACCGCCCGCTACGTCGTCACGCCGTTCGCCTTCACCACCTGCATCGGCTGAACGCTACAATTTCTTCTTTGAATTCGCTTTATGGTTGTCAAAGTGTCGTCGGCGACCCAGTCAACGAGAGCCAGCGGACAGCCATCCAGAACATGAACACCGCTCTACATCGGCTTGGTCGTCAGCCCGAGCAGCATGCGGAGACGCGTGAGTGCGAGGACGGAGCCCTCTCGGAGCTCCTCCAGGGCGTCGCCATCTATGGAGACGGCGCCTGCAACCCGTCAGTTCCGTACCGCCGAGAGCAGATCTCATGGCCATCTTCGAGCGCGCCACCAGTGGAGTTGTCCACCATCCTGGGGCCCTCGGAGGCGGCGCGCCTGCGGGACTGGCGGAGCCAAATGCTGAGACCACCGAGGGAGGCAGAAGAGCTCATGGCCACGGCGTGCCCTAGGGGGGCGTACTGCGACCAGGGGCTAGTCGGCGACCCGCGGGCCTATGCTGAGTTTTTGGGCAAGCTCTACGGCAAGGGGATGGTTCACTTCTCCGCCGCCGTGGACGCCAAGGGAACTGTCGGTGTGTTCTTCGCCCCGAAGAAGAGCGGGGCGCAACGCATCATCTTTGACACACGTATCGTGAATTGTTTTTTCAAGGCGCCTCCGAAGACCGGATTGCCGACCGCTGCTGCCTGGGGCGCAGTGGAGGCCCCCGCGTCGGGGGTTTTCGTGGCGACGGCGGACTTGGAGTGTGCTTTCTACCACATGAAGCTGCCCGGCGGCATGGAAGAGTACTTCTCGCTGCCCGCCATCGACTCCGCCTTCCTGCTGGAGGCCGGGCTCGACGACTTGCCTTTCGGGCCGGGAGTGATGGTGGCAGCTCGCGTGCTGGTGCTGCCGATGGGGTTCACCTGGGCTCTTCACTTGTGCCAAGATGTGGCCGCAGCCTGCCTGCTGCGGAGCGGGGTCGACCCGTCCAGCATCATCGTGGACGGTCAGGTCGGTATCGCCCTCGGACCGTCGCGTCTGGCCGCAGCGGGCGCGTACGTCGACAATGTGGTCACCATCGGCACCAGCGCAGAGGTGGCAAACTCTTTGTTGCACACCCTCGTGCGGCGCTTTGAGGAGGCCGGGCTCGTGGTTCACGAGATTGTCGAGGCGTCGGCCGACGCCCAGTTCTTGGGGCTGCAGCTGCACGCCGGGAAGGCGCTCACCGTGAAGGCCAAGAACGTCTGGCGGCTGCGGGCCGCGCTTGGTAGCCTCCTGCGGCGGAAGTGGGTCACTGGCTACGCGCTGCGGGCCGTCTTTGGGCGCATCACCTGGATGGGCATGCTGCGGCGCGAGGCCCTGACGACCCTGCACGCCTGCTACGCTTTCGTCGAGGTGTTCGAGGGCCGCCCTGGCCGCCTGTGGGACTCGGCGGCACGGGAGCTGATCACGGTTCGCAACCTGTTGCCGATCCTGCAGGCGGACCTGACCGCCGGCTGGTACAGCACTATCGCCCGCAGCGATGCCGCGCCAGAGGGGCGCGGTGTTGCGCGCCAGCAGTTGGAGGCCACGGTCGTCGCCAGCTGCGCCCGGTTTTCAGAGCGCTGGCGGTTCAAAGTCGCCGGGGCGCAGGCAGCTCGCGAGCGCTCCCTTGCTTGCGGATCTGCGTCGGAAAAGATGGCTGCCACCAAGAACGGATATCGTGCTGCTGACGCTGACCCTGATGCCGCCGAGACCCCGCTCAAGCACGTGGAGCCCTTCCCGAACCATATTGTGGGGCCCCTCGCGGACCCCATTCTGGACTCTGGCAGGGTGCTCGCCGAGGCGCCCGAGGAGGTCTCGGAGGACCCGGAGGGCTTCGCGGTGAGGTTCGAGGAGGTCCCAGCAGACATCACCGACTCCCCAGCATGGCGGCCCTCCGCGGCCGTCCAGGTCTCAGGCGGGGACAACATCCTGTTCTTGGGAGGTGAAGGCCTATGCTTGGCCTACCGTCATCCTCTTGCGGGGCTCGAGCAGCCTTGGGCAAAGGGTGATGATCATAGTCGACAATCTGCCGCTTGCTCTTGGGGTCGTGAAGGGCCGGGCCAAAAGCAAACGCCTCCGCCGGTGCCTCGGACGGGTATGCGCTTTGTCAGTCGCCACCGGCTCGAAGCTGTACGTCAGGTGGGTCGCCTCAGAACGGAACGCATCGGACCCAGTCAGCCGCGGGCGGTATGGCTGGTTCAGCGGGCGGCGCGTGCTGCGCGGGCCCGCGGTGGGCGCTTCTGCTGGCCGTCGCGGCGGTCGCCACTGCGGGCCCCGTGGGCGCCGACGCGGCTCGGAAGTCACGCGTGCCAAGCGCGGGGGCCGCCGTGGCGCAGCGGCAGAAGCTGGCTCAGCAGGCGCGGAGCTCGCGGCCGCTGCTGGCGGGGCTGACGCTACTGGAGACGCTGGCCATCCGCGCGAACACCGAGCGGAGCTACTTGCAGATGCTGAACAACTTCGTGCAGTGGTGCCAGCAGCACCGCCAGGACTGGAGGACGTACGAGGAGCTCGACCTGGTGCTGTCGAGCTACTTCTCGGACCACTACTTGCTGGGGACGGCGTGCAACATCGGGAGCCAGACGCTGGCGGCCATCGCGCACGTCACGCCCTCGCTGCTCAAGCAGACGGTATCCGTGCTCGCCCGGGCCTCGAGGGCCTCGGCCGCCTAGAAGCGCCGCGCGCCGGGCAAGACCCGGCTGCCGCTGCCGCGCCCTGCAGTCTACGCGATTGCGGGCTGGCTGATCAGCCACGGGCAGCTTGGGATGGCATGCTGGGTGGTCCTGGCCTTCGCAGCCTACCTGCGGCCGGCCGAGGCGCAGGGCCTGACGCACGAGAGCCTAGTGCCGCCGGCCCCGGCAGCCGGCGCGGGGTACTCGCGCTGGGCCCTGCTGATGCATCCGCTGGAGCGCGGAGTGGCGGGGAAGACCGGGCACTACGACGACAGCGTGCTGATCGACCAGGCCCCTCTGTGGCCGGTGCTGGCGGCGATGCGGCTAGCGACGCCGCCCGGGGCCAGCCTGTGGAGCTTCTCGCTGGACGAGCTCACCGCGCAGTTCAGCAGTGCGTGCCAGGCTCTGAAGCTGTCGTCGCTGAGGCCCCACCTTTACAGCCTCCGCCATGGGGGGGCCTCGGACGACCTCCTGACGGGTCGCCGCACCCCGCTCGAGGTGCAGCGTCGAGGCAGGTGGGCAGTGGCGTCGTCGATGCGGCGCCACGGCAAGGAGGGCTCCCTGCTGGACGAGATGGCGCGGGTGAACGCGGATGTCTTCGCCTTCGGGGCCCTCGTCGAGGCGAACCTCTGCTCTCTCCTCGAGCACGGTTTCAGCAGGATGAACCTGTGCGGCCAGGTGCCGGCGACCGTGCTGCCGACGCTGGGCCCAGTGGCGGCGGCGTCAGGCCGGCGGGGCCGCAAGCGGCCTGCCGCCCGCCGCTGACCGGGGCCTCGGGCGACACCGCCCCGGGCCCACCTCAGCGACCAGCAGCAAGTCCCAGCAGCGCCGAGGACGGGGTGTGCAGCCGGCATCTCAAACGGCGGCTTCGGCGCGCCTTGCGTTCACAGCGGACGCGGCGCGTGGTGCTGGAGCTCTTTGCTGGCTCGTCACACCTCACCGAGGCGGTCAGGCGGCGTGGGCTGCCTGCGCTGGACCTGGACTTGTGGCGGGGTCCAGCTGAGGACCACCTCGGCCGCGAGTTCCGGGCTGTCGTGAAGGGCTGGCTGGCAGGCCGGGTCGCGGGCGCCGTCTGGTTGGGCACACCTTGCACTACCTGGACACAGGCGCCACGACAGCCGCTGCGGACACGGGCGCGGCCGATGGGGCGGGCTGACCTCTTGCCCCACGAGGCCGCCAAAGTTCGCATGGGGAATCGAACTTTCCACTTATCTTGTGATGTGTTCGAGCTTTGTCTGGAGCTGCGTATTCCAGTTTTCATTGAGAACCCGGCGGGCTCGCTGATATGGAAAGCGCGACGTCTGCAACGATTGCTTCAGCATCCGTCTTGCCAGCTGCTGACTTTCGACTGCTGTCAGTACGGCGCCCCCTGGCGTAAGCGGACGTCGGTGGCTGCCTGGAACGCCGTCGACCTGTCCCGCCTTCAGCGGCGTTGCGCTGGCAGGCGAGGGATGTGCTCTCGTTCGAACAGACCTCGCGTGATCCTCACCGGCCACGCCGGCGGTGTGCACCTCGCGGCGCAGGCGGCTGCCTACCCTCCTCTCTTTTGTCGTGAGGTCGCCAAGCTCATTGAACACTCTATGCATGTCCAGTCTCACAAGCATCTCGTAAACATCATATCGAGATAGACTCCTGCATCGTATACTTTCTATTTCTGACGGCCTGCCGGCCAGGTTTGTCTCCGTCGGGATTTTGGAGTCAGTGGGTCCTGTTCGCTGTTTTCTGTTTGTACGCTCGTGTGTCGACGCCCGGCCCAACATGGGACACGTGCGTCTGCGTGGCTCCGACCCACACAGATAGGCCTTGCTCGTATGTGAAAACGTCCGGGGAGCGCTCTGTGTTTCGGATGGCTATCGCCACTCCGTCGCCCCCGCACCTCCATCGTGCCAGGCCGTTCAAGAGCTGGCCCTCGGGAGTGGAGGCGGGCTGCGTGGTTTTGACAACGATCTGCGTAGGGGAAATGCGAGAGGGGCCGCACTGATTCGTCAGGGAGTTGCCATGCCGATGCTACGCCATCGGCATTGTGGCTCAAAGTGCACCCGCCCGCGTGCCACCCTGTCAAAGAACCTTTTTTTTCCGTGCCTTTGATGCCCCATATGAGGGGAGTCAGTGGGTCCTGTTCGCTGTTTTCTGTCTGTACGCTCGTGTGTCGACGCCCGGCCCAACATGGGACACGTGCGTCTGCCTGGCTCCGACCCACACAGATAGGCCTTGCTCGTATGTGAAAACGTCCGGGGAGCGCTCTGTGTTTCGGATGGCTATCGCCACTCCGTCGCCCCCGCACCTCCATCGCGCCAGGCCGTTCAAGAGCTGTCCCTCGGGAGTGGAGGCGGGCCATATATATGTGTATGTATCCAAGTTTTGTATCATAGATGTGTTATATTTACATATATATAGGGGGATGGCTATTTTTACGCCCTCTGTACTTGACAAGCGCGTTTGTTCTAGGACCCCCCAGGCGTTCGTTTTCAGAGTACGGGGCGTATTTTTTCACCCCCTGCATGCATACATCGAACTCAACATCAGATTTATACGACATCGATGCCACCAATAGTTTTACACCCCCTTCTGTCGGGCAGGTTTTTTTGGGGGGGCCCCACTGCCCGCGACCCTCTGGGCATGTTTGCAGCTTCTTGGCAGCCCCTGCAGCTTACAGTCCCCGCCCTCGGCGTAACTCAGGCCCGGCGCAGTTGCCTTCTCCGGCGGCAGGTTTTGCCTAGCTCGGCGCGCGCGCCCGCAACTACGTTGCTCGTAGCCCGAGCCAACTCTGCTTCAGCTGTTGGCGCCTTCGCCTGCGGCCGCGACGGAAAAAAACCCACCAGCCCATCCCAAAACAGTTTCGAAGCATACCGGCTGTCATGGTCCAGCGTATTTCCTCTTGCCCTCGCCTATCTTTTCTTGCTCCTCCTAATTCCTACGTGTTTCCTCTTACTTCTTCCTTGCGGGGGGAGTGGCAGGAGGACGGGGCGGAGGAAGAGGAAGAGCAGGCGGTGGGATGAGAGAGGAATAGAGCGACGACGGCGACGACGGGGATGGCCACGACAATGACGACGCACCTGACGACGACGACGAAAACGACGACCGCGAAGACGACGCCGATGACGACGACGAACGAGGAAGAGTAATAGGAAGGAGGAGGAGGAGGAGGAGGAGGAGGAGGAGGAGGAGGAGGAGGAGGAGGTGGAGGAGGAGGAGGACGAGAGGGGAGGGCGAACAGACGAACCATGAGCCTTTTTAGTGACTCTCGGAGTCTCCTCTGGTTTCTGTTGGAAGTGCACAGGAGGAGGAGGTGGAGGAGGCGGAGGAGGAGGCGGAGAAGAGAGAGCAGGGAGAAGGGAGGTGGAGGAGGAGGAGGAGGAGGAGGCGGGTATGGAGGAAGAGGAGGAGGAGGAGGAGGAGGAGGAAGAGGAAGAGTAGGAGGAAAAAACGGACGATCAGAAGAGCCTCCTCGGATGCCTCTTGTTTTTTTTTGAGCCTCTTGGAGCGTCTGGGCGTCATCTTGGGGGCCTCTGGGGTCCTCTTGAAGCCTCTTGGGAGCCTTTTGGAGGCCTCTTGGGCGCCTCTTGGGGCCGTCTTGGCGCCTCTTGGGGCCCTCTTGGGGCGCTCTTGGGAGCCTTGGGGCTCTCTTGGAGCCATCTTGGAGGACGTCGAGCAAAAAGAGGGGTTCCCCAATTAGCGTTGGCCCTCGGGAGGCCCAGCAATGGTCTCTTGGGGCGCTCTTGGAGCGTTCTTGGGCGCTCTTGGGGTATTATTGGGCCTCTCTTGGGGCCCTCTTGGACCATCTTGAGGCCTCGGACGGCTATCGAAAGCGGACGGGCGACGATGCAACACTCATTGATTTTCAATCGGTGTTTGAAGGGCGTTGGCTTCTTGGAGGTCGCCTTAACGCTCTCGGGAGCATCTTGGAGTCGCCGTGGAGCGGTCTTGGGGCCTCTTGGAGCATCTTGGGAGCCATGTTGAGGCATCTTAGGCTTTCTTGAGACATCTGGGAACTCATCTTGGGCTCTCCGAGGCGCAATTGGAGCTGTCGTCGGCCATCTTGAACGTGCCAACTACCAGCGACCCCCCCTATCCAGGACCAGGAGAGGGGGTAGGGGGAGGAGTCAAGCTACCCGCCACCCGCAAGCCGTCTAGCTCACTCCCACCCACCCTCCCTACGCATAAGTAACACCCGAGCCTCAGCATGTCCGGCAGTCGTCTTTAGATGGACAGCTACTGGAAACCAAAGCCGACCCCGGGTGCGCGACGCTGGGGCGAGGTGCGCCACGCGTGCCAGGGGCGCCACGCGCGCCAGGCACCCCTGGGGCCCGAGCGTGCCAGGCACGCCCGGTGCGCCAGGAGCGCCACGTGCTCCACGTGTGCCAGGTGTGCCCCACACTCCAGCGGCGCCAGGTGCGCCGCGTTCGGGGTACAGGCAGAGTGCGTCAGGTGCGCCTGCGCACGTGACAGCACACATCGGGAAACATGTCGGCCACCGCCATCTTTGTCGAAAACCCATGCCAATCATGGTGTCTGGTGGGCCTGCGCACAGCAGGCCCCGCGCCACCACCCCCGTCGTTCCTGTCAAAAACCAGTTGACAGTGATCGCGGGATGACCGCGCATGATCCAGATTTAGCCACGAGGTGCATGTTGTATTGTTTCTTTGTCAGGGATGGCAGTCCTGCGCACAGCAGGGAATATGCTGACACCCCCGCCGTCCTTGTCAAAAACAGCACAACATGCTCGCGGGTCTCATGAACATGACTCAAGAATTTGCTCCAAAGTGTATTTTGCATTGCTTTTTGACAGGGACGGTGGGTGGGGGGGCGCATCGGGTTGGCCGCGCATGCTCCAAATGTGGAGGCAGAGTGCGGTTTGTATTGTTTTTGTTGACAGGGATGGTGGTTGGCGGGTCGTGATGGTGTGGGCCTGGTGTTGGCATGGTGCCTGGTTGGCCACCAGTCGCTTGGAAGGGGGTGGACATTAATAAGGAACAGTGATGGACCCCTCCCCAAAGGGGAAGGCGGGGGTTGGAAGAGAAGCCTCCCTAGACCACCTACGCCCAGAGGGCTGGTGCGATTTATGATGATGCCGATGTTGTGATGATGCCGATGCTGATGCCGATGATTATGATAATGATGATGCTGCTGATGATGATGATGCTGCTGATGATGATGTTGATGATGATCATGATGATGATGCTGACAGTGATGATGCTGATGCTGATGGTGATGATGATGATGATGATGATGTTTGTATGGCGGAGATGCTGATTACTGTAATGATGCTGATGGTGATGATGCCGACGATGCTGATGCTGATGATGATGAGGATGGTGGTGGTGGTGGCGGTGATGCGTCTGATTATGATGATGCTGATGTTGACGTTGATGATGATGATGATGATGATGATGATGATCATGATGATGATGATGATGATGGTGATGGTGATGACGATGATGATGGTGATGATGGTGATGATGTTGATGATGCTGATGATGCTGATGGTGGTGGTGGTGGTGGTTATGGTGATGGTGATGACGACGGTGATGATGGTGATGATGGTGATGATGATGGTGATGATGATGGTGATGGTGATGGTGATGGTGATGGTGATGGTGATGGTGGTGGCGATACTGATGGCGATGATGATGATGTTGATGATAATGGTGGTGGTGGTGATGGTGATGATGATGATGATGATGATGATGATGATGATGATGATGATGATGATG